AACGCTTTTCCATTGTATAAGAAAATGACTGAACCCAAATTGAACTGACCCAACCTGAATGGATAAGTTACCAAAGCAAAAGAGACAATAGTTTGAACTTAGTCGGCTTTAAAACTGGTCCGTACCTGGCTAGGTTCACGGGATCAATTGGCATAGCCACAGAGACAAACTCTGAGCGAGTCAGCTTTATGAAACCCATGAAAATGCAGACTTGGCCAACTAAGCCTGACTTATTAATTAACAGCCAGGTGTACATTGTGCGATATTTTCAATTTTTGCACGCAGCTACAGCTCAAACTGTACGATGAAACTGCAGGGATTAAAAGGTCACAGGGCACGATGCATGTTTTCACACTAGGCGAACATGATGCTATGATGTGACGTTACGACGGCCGAATTTCAAATATGTTTCATTTTATCCCGACCTTACGATTCCTGATCAGGAGGTGGTGGTGAGAGGCTGATCAACCCTCGTTACGCCCTGCACACTACATGATGCAGGATGCACGATTAGGCTGAAACTGTGCCCAATTAAAAAATTCTTGCACGACTTCAGAATCGGCCTGAAAATGGAAAAAAATTGGCTACCGTGTATGGCCAGACTAAACCAGCTTTAAGGAACATCCCTTCATGGTTAAAATACCAGCTGAAAATTGCCACTGACTCTCTGATTAAATACCTAAATCAAGCAGACATAGAAACTGGATAGATGGTTATTAAATTAAATTAAATTAATTTAGTAGAGAATATGTTTTACTTTATCAAACACTGTTGGCGTGTGAGTCCTCCGAAAAAGAAGTGTTTTTACTACTGGCCATAGAGACAAAAGGTATAGCTCTGAGTGAGTCTCCATTAAGGTTTCTGTCATGTCACAAGATATTCTTCAAAACAGCTATTCTGTCTGGAAAATAAAAAAGACTTCAGCTGAAACACTTGTGCATCATAGTCCTTCTAATGGAAGGTGTATTTCAGAATTGTTAGCAAACTTTTCTAGTGAAATCTAAAAGAAAAGCAAAAAAGATGTCTTCCTGAGAACAGTCAATTTTTTTGTAAACTGTTAGGGGAACAACGGATTAGAAAAATAAAACTTCCTTACATTGTTCAAGAGCTATAAATTTAGGAAGGCAGGACTGGCAGGGAAAGTTAATAGAAAACAGAAAAGAAATTATAAGGAAACAAGGAAAATACAAAAGCCACTACTGTTACCAGAACCAAATCCAACACATGAGAGAATAGAAATCCAAAAGATAGTAATTGGGTTCTGGGAATTAAATAAGAGAGAAAGAAAAATAAATGCTCAGCATAAAAGAGAATATCCCAAAACAATAGGAAATATGATCTAAGAACATTTCACTGAAAGCTAGATTCCAGAGGTGGTAGATGTGCTAGATTCATTAGGTACTTAAATATCTGGATGATCAAAACTAAAGCATTAACTAAATATGTGACACAATAATGAAAATGCAAGGCTAGTTTAAAGGATCATTGCAGCTACTAAAATAATCAATTTTATTGGGAAATTAAAATGCTGCAGCTTTATTCTGGACGACAACATCTCTCAGTAAACACTTTGTAATTTAAAACATCATACAGGACTTTGAGGAAATGTTATTGTCTGAACTGTTCAGGGCTGTCTCACAGCCTTAGTGATTCAAGACTTGGTGGGGTCAGGATGAGAGAAAGTGGCTGCTAGCTTACACTGGTAATAAGAAGGATGGAAATTTTACTCCCCATCGACACCAGAGGTTGAGAAGGCTTTGTGGAGCCCAGTGGCCCGGAGCCTTATCCAGTCCAACAGCTTGCTTCAAGGTGTTGACTTAGCAATGCTGTCAATAAAGCAAAATACAGGACTCTCTACGGAGGTGTGTTGAGTGAGCTTTCATACCCAAAGGCATGGCTATGGTGATGAAAGTCTGTACCAGCATTACCTGGCAGAGGTTTGCCTGCAGAAGGCTCTTCACACTAAGTATGTTTTGTGGGAGTTTTTCCTCTCCACTGTCGCTGCATGCATGTTTGGTATGAGGGGTTGCTATGGATCCAACGCTACAATGTAAGTGAATGTTTACTATCACCGCAAGCTTATCCAGGAGGAGCAAATCCTACAAAGGCAATGGCGGGGTACTGTTAACTAGTTTTCCTTAGACAGAAAACTAATCAATCTGACTATACGATCTGATTGAATTGCTTTAGTACCTTGAGATGGCATATGTTGTGAATCGGCGCTATACAAATAAACTGGATTGGACTGCTTTGAACAATAGGACTATTGCCATAGCCACCATTCAACCACTCAGTGCATTACTAACTTACAAAAAAGATGAAATGGTAAAAACTATGACCCCATAGGCCCAGTTTATATTTCTTATATTTTGAGGCAAGTTACACTTTAAATCAAGCATGAATGCATCAGGCCACTGTCCTGCAGGTTTTAGAGGTTCAACTTCAACACAACTCATTGCCATTGACAGGCTTTTGCTGAACTCTAACCATGATAATCAGTTGTGCAGAAGCTGAGAAACATTGAAAACCTGTAGGACAGTGGCCCTTTGGACCGACTTTAGACATATGTGCTTCAAATTAACCTGTTACAGGTGGTAAATGGGAGAAGTGGGCAGAAAAAGACTGGACATGACAGACTGATGTTACAAAGCACTGCTGCCATTTGTAGCATTCAGTGTGACGTTGTGATCTTGTGTCTTCCCTCAGTACCTCTTTTCTCAAGGAATACCCCGAAGACTTAAACCCTGAACATGCATGCTTCCAATACCACCATTATGTTCGACATTGTCCTTTCCATTTCCTCCTTCTCCTCAAATATTTGATCCTTCCTCGCTGCCTTGTCTGCAAATGTAGCTGTCTGTCAGTGTATTTTAACAGACTAACTCTCAGCTTTCCCCGTCAGTGTCAGAGTAACACCCCAGCTCTGATCCAGGCTGCACTCAGGTGTGTAACTGACTGCTCTGTTTCCCCATAATTACATTGTGAGCTTGACGCAGTCTCCGACACCTGAGCGTGTGTAGTGTAGGTGCATGCGTGTGCGTGCGTGCTTGTGTCTTTTCACCCCAGGCGGAAACATGTCATTTCCCGTGCTCCTGTCCTTCTGGCAGACAGATACAATATTAAGAGCCACAAATCTGAGTGTGAGTTGAGAGGAGACGTGGCGGTCGGGGAGCGGGGGAGTGGGCAGAGTGGGGAGGGAAGTGTGAGGAGATGACAGTAATGATAGCATATAGACAATAGTCAGGGAAGGAGACAGCGATTGAGTGCATTTGTACAAGTCATGTCAAAAGACAGGATGTGCAGACAAAAAAGATATCAGATATCTAGGTCTGAGGAGAGAGGAGATGAATGCGGTATTGTCACAAAGCCTTATCTCATTCAGAGCATGAATTATCCTATTTGCTGTTTTTACTGCATGCTCAATTATCTTTCACTGCGAAAAACCTGTTATGCTTTGCAGTTTTATCCCTTTACATCATTTTCCTTGGAATTCTCCATTGTTTTTCTGCCTCCTGTTGAATCTTCAGTTGAAACTACAGAATCTGTATTCACAGCTACGACTTTTCTGATGCTATATTTATGCCATTGTTTTAATTGGGCTTCTATTTATATTTTTCTTTGATCAGGGCCATTAAAGATCCAACTGTTAGGACTTTTAAGCCTCTGATGAGGAAGGACAACATAACATTTAAGAATAACATAACTTAATTTTTAATACATGCCAAAGTCCCAAGTGGTAACCTATGTATTTACTGTTTTTTGTGCAGCTGTAAATCTGACGCACAAGCAGCAATGCAAGCATAGGTCCACTGGGGGTATTCAGGCTTAAAAAACGTCCCAACCAGCCCACATCAGACGTTGTTCTTTTTTATACTGCAGGGCCAACAGGGGGCGGGCCTATGCTCAAGGCAGCTACCTGAGGATATGGGGGGGACATATTTCTAGTGTACAATGTGCAACCCAAAATTCTAGCACCACACTGAAAATATAAAAGGATGGGAGAATTTTTACACATTAAGAACAATAAAGTGTGACATTTATAATTCTCTTTACACCGTGCTTAATGCTTAGTGTAATTTCTAAATAATTCTTAAAGTTAATTATAAAGCGGAAGCATAACATTGGTCAAAGGGACAAATTATCCAGTCTATTCTGTCACTTTTTATCATCATAAAAAAATCTATTTAATTTTAATTCAGTTTATTTCTATAGCGCCAATTCACAACACATGTCATCTCAAGGCACTTTACAGTTCAACCAGATCATCCAGTCAGATTGATTCAAAGTTTTCTACTTAAGGAAAACCAGTTGATTGCATTGACTCATTAACTCGAGGGCAATCCCTCACACTAAGCACGTTTGTAGCGACAGTGGAGAGGAAAAACTGCGTTTTAACAGGAAGAAATCTCCAGCAGAATGAGGCTCAGTGTGAGCGGTGATGTGCCGAGGCCGACTGGGGTTCACGGAGACAAGCAGAGATACAAAAGTATATAAGTACAAAAATTGATTTAGTATAACAATGCAAAACTAACCTAGAAAATTAGAAAGTTGTTTTATTTGGTATAACAATAATAAGAAATTGGTATAATAATAATTATAAATAGAGAAGGTAAGATAAGATAAATAAGGTAAATAAGATAATAAATATTATATTTTTTATAATTTTATAATTTCATCTGCAAATTGTCTCACCAACATACTTAATTTTAATGTTTGCAATGTGTTTAGTACCACCCATGCCCTTGGTGTCTCTCCATCCCGAAATGTTAACACAAGCCTGAATATTCCATAAACTCTTATCTTACCTCAGAATGTGCTTCACTTAATGAAATCCTAACTTTTATTTCCCTTGCCGAAGAAGTGGTACATCTTTATTCTTGTCAGCGTATATTATGTTTATACTTCAAAGTGTTTATCGTATTATCAAGAATGAAAGTAAATACTTAACTAGCAAAATATAGGATGATTTAACTGCTAAGAGCCTTTTTGTGGACTTCCAGGTTCAAACACAATCAGCCCACACTCTAGTCCTTCCAGGAGCCCCAGATGAAGCTGGCATATACCCATTGTGCCCATGGGCCTGATTTGTTATTCCGCCAAACAAAATGTGCTTTTTGTTTACAGGTGTATGCAAAATTGGCATGACTTTTAGAGAGCAACCCAGACGACCTAAGCTACATTTGCACCGTCAGAATCTTAGTGCCCACCTATCTCTCAGAGATTCACTCAGTGCCCTCTGACCAACCTCCTGCTGAGCCCCGAGCCTCATAACACCGCCGGATTTCTGTTCCATAGGTCACTTCAGATGGCTGGCACGCTTGAGCCCTGTTGACAGCTTGTTGTTTACAGTATGTGCTGTCAGCATGGGGCAGCCTCTGCCGATCAGCGGCCTGGTGGGAGGTGGATGCACCGAGGTGTGTGTGTGTGTGTGTTTTGTTCGGGAGGAGGCAGAGGCGGTGGAGGTGCTGTGGCAGAAGAGAACTGATGTCAGCAGGGGGTCTGGCGTAGGTTTCCTAGCAGGGAGCCCATGGAGCAAAGCCCAGCAGTCTTTGATGCTCTCTGGCTCTGAGAGAAGGGGAGAGGGGAGAGGAAGGAGGAAAGGAAGGATGGAGAGGAGGGTTGAAAGAGGGGAAAAAAGGGTTACCTGTGGATCAGCCTGTGTCTGGTGCATAAGGGCCACATGTGGAGGGCGGATGGGGGAGAGGGGGTGGGGGGTGGATCTTTGATGTGAGTCCAGGTTGGAGAAGAGCGGGCTGCTGAGGGAGGAGAGGACGGTGAAGGTGCTGCAGTGTGGTGGAGATGAGAGGAGGATGGCCAGAGCTCTTTTACACCAACACTTTTTACTTTTTTTTTTTCTTTCCCAGAGTATTAGACTCAGAGTCTCGGCTGAAAACGTTGAAGAAGAGGTGCGGATAATCTCAAGGAAATGTGTTAACCGTATATTGATCATATAGTTCCAAGACTGTGGATGAAGTTTTAAGATATCCGTCTCTTGCTGCCGCTTGCTGAGAACCCAAATGCCTTTCATCTCTTTCCCATGTGTGTGCAGCAGGAACATGGAGGTGGGGTTTTGGGGGGGGGGGGTACTTTCCTGCCTCTGTGAGCGTATGAATCTGTGTGGAGCGTGTGGAGCTGATGTGTTTATGAGAGCATACATGCACGCTTTGTTCAGAGGGAAATCTCTGTGAATATTCCAAACCAACAAAGGCAAGATCCTGCTGGGCTGCTGTGTATCAGTAGATCAGAGGTGTGCGTATGTGTGTATGTGTGTGTGTGTGTGTGTGTGTATGGGTGCATGAACATCACTCATTCTTGCACAATTATAAGGACACCAAACAGGCACAAACACCCGCTGGGGCTAGCACTCTCCACAATATGCCCGGGCTCCCACAATGCATCAGTATTTCAAAGCTGCGCTTCCCAGGAGACTTAGCTCTAACAGTGAGGTCTCTTCTTCCAGGAAGTGACACTCCCTCCTGCTGAGACACACTCCCACAATGCACCGAGGTGGCTCCCAATGCGATACGCACACTGTGTGTTTGCTCATGTTGGAGGTTGCAGCCGTGCATCCGTCTGCAAGCAGCTAACGGCGCAAACATCTCTATTTCTCTCATTTGCTCCTTTCCCTGTCTCCTCTGCTTTGACTCCACTTACATTCCTGATCCCGGTTTGGGGACAGCAGACTGTGTTCCAGGGCTGACAGCAAGAACAAAAATACATCCAGAGGCCCTTTGTACACTGGAGAAATGTTTCCCTGTGACAAGGAGTAACCCAAGGCAAGGCTGACACATCATACAATTTCTCTCTACAGTGTTCTCTGAACCCGCGGCCGGTTTACAGTCAATGTACAGCGAGCCCAGCCTTAGTCGACAGCTTCCCTGCTGATCGTTGCAACAGTCCTTTAAAGTAGCGAGAACTCATAGGAACCTGTCAGAGAGAGATTGACTGACTGAAACCTCATCCTGACCTAAATCTAGACGGTTCTGACGTCTTTTTCTCGGATCTGCTCCTTCATTACTTCTTAGCTCAGCTTTATTTTTTTGAAACACACAAACTGTGTCAGTAAATAACTGCTAGCCATGTAAACATGCTGGCACATTTTTTTAACGTTGTTTGTTCCACAAAATAGTTATATGTTCAATTTCTAATAGTGAAGCCAATGTAACTCCATATCTGAATCCATTGTTTTTGTTTTTTGTTTTAAGGGAAAAGTCTGGTCAGCAAGGAATAATCAATGGATCCTTATTTATACCTAACACTAAAACGTTTGGGGTGATTTAATGAATTTAGTGTTAATCAGTAAAAAAATTAAAATAATAATTTTTGTCGAGATTACTGAGTCTGGGAGCAGCCATTTTTGCCCAGCTATAGTAACACCTCACTCCTGACATCTTCCGGCAGTGACGTCACAATGTGGTAAGCCTAGCGCCATTCTCCCCGCTTTACAACCAAAATCAAGTGGAACTACTAGACACATCTGCAATCAACAACAATTATACAAGATTTCCAGAGGACTTCACCACTGAAATTCACCAGAGCTAAAGGGAAACTGACAATGCCCACGTGCATGGCAGCCGGATGTTGTAATACATCGGGTAAAAGTAAAAAAAAATTAGTTATTTCACCTTTCCAATTCATTATCCTACACGGATGGGTTCGCCGTCTGATTGCCAAGTCTAAGAGGGAGGATTTGCCATTGAACTTCTGACCAGAGAAAAAACACTTAATATGTAGCCAACATTTGGAAGAAGAATGTTTTCAAGATGACTTGGATTATGGTGTATCTGGTGACAAACACTAGGACTTGATCAATAGCCGATACCGCACCCTGACATCACAAACCTGTGGGTGGCAGTAGTGTTCTTTGACAAACATGGATGTCTCCAGTAAAGCGCATTCAAATGAAAATTACTCTTGATTAAAGCACTTATCACTTATTGAAAAGTATGTTATAATTTCATATTTAAAGTACTTTCAGAAGTTTGAATTCTGAATATGACCAGACTTCTCCTTTAAGAAACAAAACAGAGGCACAGAGACGCACAAAGACACACAATCATGCAGACAAAATCACACCTAAGGAGAATTTAAAGAAGCCAATTAACCTAACATTCATGCTTTTTGGACTGTGGGAGGAAGCTGGAGTACCTGTTGAGAACCCATACATGCATGGGGAGCACGATCAAACTCCATGCAGAAAGACCCCGGGCCAGGGATTGAACAAACGGCATTCCTGCTATAAGGCAGCAGTGCTACCCACAGCCGTATAAGAAATAAAGTATTAACTGTCCATTAGAGAGTTTTTTTTTTTTAGGGAACTGTTCTCAAACATTAAAGTTAGCATTTTTAGAAGCTTTAAACTTGAGATGCAAGTTATTAATTAATCAATTAATCTAAAGTTGATTAATTAACGATTAGATAATAAGTGGAAATTTTTATGTGAAACAGTTATTTATGGGAAGATCTATGGAAAGATCCTCTTTTATCAAGAGGTCTTTCCGTAAATGGAAGGGCTGAAAAATTTTCGCAATATGCTGAGTTACAAAAAAAGTAGTACATCATTATATTTTAAGAATTTATGGTGCCAGCTCTATTAAATTACTGACTGAACAAACAAAGTGTTTTCTATCGCACTATTAAACTAAACCTATTTTATTAAACCGATTTTATTATATATTATCAATCTTATATTAAGATTTAAAAATAAGGGAAATAATGTAATTGAATAAAAATAGATCGAGCACATGAGCAGAGAATTAAGGCAATCATTATAAAAGACATGGTATGCCGCTTTGCTACGCTGCCTGACCATTTATGACCTCTTTCGATTAAGTCGAAGATGAGTGTGATATAGCTCTCTTTTTCACTGTAATCAAGCATTCATTGCTGGGAGAGATTATGCTGTTAACAGCACCTTTTAACAGGTAGTTAAATGGCCGCTATTTAGGTAATTACTTAAGGAGTGTGATCACTGTTTATATTTACAAACAGGGCCACATAAAGTTAATTTTACATTCTTGTCACTGTTAAACAGTGCAAATAATCCTAGACTTATAATCCCTCCATTCCCTTGGCATTACTGCCCTGGCAAATATAAGTAAGCCTCCGCTTAAATGTGAAAAGCGGTGCGCTCTAGTACAGGGCAGTAACAATACAACAGTGAAAGCAATTCCTTTAAAGCGGACGTTAAGTTCAACCATATACTGAGAAAAATCTCTACTTTTTACTCAGAATTGGTTTCTGGTTGAAGGTAAATGCGAAAAACACAAATAACATTTTCTGTTCCCCTTGAAGTTTTCTTTTGTCCCATCAAAACTTTAGAGTACTTATTTGGGAATTTATGTCCATATAATAATAGTCGAATCTCGGATTTAGGAGGAGCAGTTTGGTTTTCGTCCTGGCCATGAAACACTGGATCAGCTCCACACCCTCAGAAGGATCCTGGAGGCTGCATGGGAGTTTGCCCAACTAGTCTACATGTGCTTTGTGGATCTGGAGAATGCATTCAACTGTTTCCCTCGGTGGGTCCTGTGGGGGGGACGCCAGTACTTATGGAGTACTGGGCCCTTTGATAAGGGCTGTTAGGTCTCTGTATGACTCGTGCCAGTACTTGGTCCGCAATGCCATCATTAGGTCAGACTCATTTCCGTTGAGGGTTGGACTCTGCAAAAGTTTCCCTTTGTCACCGATTTTGTTCATAACTTTTATGGACAGAATTTCTAGGTGCAGCCAAGGTGTTGAAGGGATCCGTTTTGGTGGCCTTAGGATCGCGTCTCTGTTATTGGCAGATGATGTGGTTCTATTGGCTTCATCAGGGCGTGAGGTACAGCTCTCATTGGAGCGGTTTGCAGCCGAGTGTGAAGCGGCCAGGATGAGGATCAGTGCCTCCAATCCGAGACCTAGGTCTTTAGCAGGAAAAGGGTAGAATGCCTTCTCAGGGTTGGGGAGGATGTGCTGCCCCTAGTGGAGGAGTTTAAGTATCTTAGGGGCTTGTTCACGAATGAGGAGAAGATTGAGCGGGAGATTGATAGGCGCACTGGTGCGGCGTCT